CAAATAGTAAGATATTCTTTTTTTACTGCTGCATAGTATTCCATGGTATATATAAATGTACCACAGCTTTTTTATCCACTTGTCTACTGATGGACACTTGGGCTATTTCCAGATCTCAGCTATTGTAAAATTGTGCTGCTGTGAATATAAGGGTGCATACATTCTTTCTGAAATAAAAATATTATGTACCAATGTTTACTACAATGGAAAATGTGTGCATTTTGAGTTATGCTTGAATACAAAAGGGGCTGTGAAATAAAAAATGCTTTTCAAAGTGGTGAGATTATAATTGGCTTTTTTTTCTCTCTCTTAATTTTCACAGATATTGTTCTACTGGTTTGACTAATTTAAAAAAGTTTTTAAACAATGAATATAATTTAACAATGCCCTGCTTTTTTGTTTTGTTTTATTTTATTTTATATATTTTATTGATTTTTTACAGAGAGGAAGAGAAAGGGATAGAGAGCTAGAAATATCGATGAGAGAGAATCATCGATCAGCTGCCTCTTGCACAACCCCCACTGGGGATGTGCCCACAACCAAGATACATGCCCTTGACCGGAATCGAACCTGGGACCCTGCAGTCTGTAGGCCGACGCTCTATCAACTGAGCCAAACTGGTTTCGGCCTGCCCTGCTTTTTTAACTGATCAGCTCTAGATTTTTACTTTTAAAATCGTTTTCAACTAAAGCAGTAGAGTCAGATTAAATTTAAGAAATGTGTAAAAGATGTGTTTAATTAATATTCTAATAGAAGATGACTCAATAGTCATTTCAGGCAGTTTCATCATGTACATGGAGAATTCATTACTTGGAAGTTGTTATATTTAAAAAAATAAAATAGCAGATATATTTGTGTCCTACTTACACACACTTTTAAAGTATTTGTCCATCCCTCTACATAGCTGTAATCATGCACCTATTGACTTTTTTGTAAATAGGTCAAACTATACAAAGCAAACTGGAACATTAGGAAAATATAGCAGTAGGGTCAGGAGGTCAGGTATGCTTAATGTATTTATAGCAAGTAAGTATATTATATCAAATGTAACATATACTCACTCGTTTATGATCAATTTTAACGAACATGAACTTCAAATTAGAAATAACTATAGAAAACTTAAAACTTAAACAATCTAATCAATTGGTTAACAGAGCTTTTGCTTTATTACTAGTGAAGCTTGATTAAGTTTTTCACATTCCAAAGGACCACTGTTAGCATTCATAGCCAGCAGAAACATTTCTAAGTGTTTAGAATGATGATACAGGGGAAATATTTAGCAGAGTACCTAATTACAACGATTGCTCAGCAATTTAATAATTGTCACTTATGTTTCTAATAAAATTAGTGTGTAAGTTATAAACAGTTAATTCCTTAATCATATGGTAAGTATGCTTAGTCTTAAGAATTCTGATATTTCTCATGATTTACCACAAGGAAGTAATGTTCTTAATGAAATTTGTTTAATCAAGTGGAAATTGTATTTGTCTGCCCCCTGGGGGATTCATGGAAACATTGCAAGTAGCAAAATTCCAGTAATAAAATAATACAACATATTGTATATGCATATAAGGTCTTTGGTTGATTACCTCCCACCCACCCATTCTCTCCCGTCTTCCCGCCAAGATTCCTCTCTCTGTTCCATGCGTCCATATCTCTGGATACCACTCCATTCATTTTGTTATTTTGTTAATTAGATTCCAAATATAAGGGAGATCATGTGATACTTGTCTTTCTCTGACTGACATTTAGCATGATACTCTCCAGGTCCCTCCATACTCTCCCAAAGGGTAAGAAACATTTTTCCCTGTTGTATAGTATCCCATGATATAAATGTACCAAGCTTTTTTGTTGTTAATCCCCACCGAAAGATATTCTTCCATTGATCTTTTAGAGAGAGTGAAAGAGAGAGGGTAAGTCCGAGAGAAACATTGATGTGAGAGAAATACATCGATTGGTTGCCTTTTGCATACACCCTGACCAGGGCCCAGGCTGGGGAGGAGCCTGCAATTGAGGTATGTGCCTTGACTGGAACTGAACCCTGGACCTTTCAGTCTGCAGGCCAATGCTCTATCCAGTGAGCCAAACCAGCCAGGGAACACAGCTTTTTTATCCACTTATCTACAAATACTTTTTAAAAATATATATATTTTATTGATTTTTGTACAGAGAGGACGGGAGAGAGATAGAGAGTTAGAAACATCAATGAGAGAGAGTCATCGATCAGCTGCCTCTTGCACACCCCCTACTGGGGATATGCCCGCAACCAAGGTACATGCCCTTGACCGGAATCGAACCCAGGGCCCTTCAGTCCCCAAGCCGACGCTCTATCCATTGAGCCAAACCGGTCCCGGCTCTACAAATACTTTTAAATAAATATCAGATGATAATTTTTTAAAATTGTTAGTATGACAACATTTTTAATGAATTTCCTAATGTTGATCTACTCTTATGGATAAATCTATCTATCCTGTATTGTATGTTTTCTTTTTAAATTCTGTTCTGTGCTGTTTTCAATTTGCTGATTTTGATTTTGGATTCTTCCAGTTTTGCTCATAAGTAAAATTGGCCTTAGGATTAGTTATAAAGCACCAACCTTGTACAATTTTGGTATCAGAATTATTTTCGGCTCTAAAATGACATTGGGAGTTAATGAAAGGAATGAACTAAATAAATTATTAAAATATTAAGTAACTACTATGATAGAGGACAAGTCCCCAAGCTCCAGTGATGACTTTACACATTTCAAATGATAGCTACAATAAAAATTTTATTGCTTTTTAATTCATTCAAAAGTACCCACTGGATTCAATCCACTTGGGAAGTAAGTTAATAATATAGCTACTATCCATGAGAAATTGGCAGTGTCTGGCCTGGTGCTAAAGTACATAGCCCTCTAATATGACCCTTATTATTATATTATTATATTATCCTGACCTCCACCTCCTTTCTTTCATTCCCCTGTGTAATTCTCTTCTCTTGAGAGGATTCATTGGCCAGCTTCTGATGAATCGAATACCATACAAGTGATGGAATGTCACTTCTGAGATTAGGCTATAAGATGGTGGCTTCTTGTGCTGGATATTCTCTCTTTCTTAGACTGCTCACTCTGGGGAAGGTCACCTGCCATATTGTCAGGTAGCCCTGCAAAGAGGTTCATGTGAAAAGAAACAAGGAGGCTTCTGGCCAACAGCCAGAAAAAAAAAAAGAGGCCCTCAATCTGCCAGTCCTGAGGAATAGAGGCTCATGTTAGTGAGCTTGAAGGCAGCTCTTTTTCTAGTCGGGTTTTCAGATGAGACTTCAGACCCAGCCAACAGCTTAACTACAACCTAATGAAATAATTTAAGCCAGAGAACCCAGCTAAGCTGGGCCCAGATTCAAATTATTTTGCAAAAAAAACAAAACTACATATGTCAATACATACATATAAAATAAACATGCCAAAATGTCAGTCACTGAATCAAGACAGTCGTTATACGGGTATTCATTGTATTATTCTTTGAACTTTTAATTCTTTAAAGATTTTTATTTAACACATTGAGAAGGCATTTGAGTGAAACTTTGCATGTGAATATGACTCTTAAAGAATACTGTCCTTATATTAGTTCATCATAGACAAACTCAGAAAACAGATGAAAAGAGGAAAATTATGACACAATCTGGGTATTATATATAATATATACTGAACATCCTATTTAATGTACACTATTTTTGAATTCTGCTTTTTCACCTGACCATATCACGGATATCTTTCTATCTTTACTGGCTGCATGACATTCCATTGTGGAGATGCCTTGGGATTATATTTAACTGGCACTGTTGGGTGGTGCAGTCAACATCTGTTCACATAAATCTTCTGCTCATGTGTCTGGTTACTTGAATGGGCAAGAATTCAGGCTGTGCACAGGGCAGAGGTGGAAATGGGGGCAGAGGCGGGGGACTGAAAATAGTCGGGTATGGCTGGAAAAAGTTGAAGAGTCTATTTTATCTGGGGTGTGGACCACTGTCAGTAAGGAGACTCGAAGGAGCCATCTTATGAGGATCCTTGCATTGAAAAGAGTTTGAGAAGACTTGTTCTCACTTAACTCTTGGGCCGTGCAGGTCCTCTTCTGACCTTTTCATGCATAGCTTACTAAAATCGCAGGCACTGTTGTTATTTCTGTCAAGAGGCAAGGAAACTTGAGGCACAGAACACTGAAATTGCCCAAGGCTACCAATCTAGTGAGAGATGAAGCCAGGATTGGAAAGAACATGGTCTAGCCAGGGCCTGAGAGGTAATTACGCCCATTTTGCAGCCGAAGAACCATGGTGAGATACTGAGCTTAAAACCGTGGCCTTATTAGACACAATGGTAGATGGTAACAGCATAAATTAATATGGCCTGGACCTGTTCCTCCTGTCCCCTAGAGCGTATAAACAGCATTAGCTGAGACTTTAGAAAACCTCCATAGATTCCTTATCTCCAAAATAGAGAAGGCAATCAACATTTAGTATTGCCCCTTAAGATGGCCAGCGTGCCTGAACTTAACTGATTGGCAGTCAGGATGCAACAAGTGACGAACCGGGGCTCTCAGCTCGATAATCAAATTCCAAAAGCCGCGCGAGCCTTCCAGCGAGTTTCCCGCCTCCAGGCCGGTAGCAGCCAGTTCCGCAACAGTCGCTGCAGCCCCAGGGCCGTGACGTCACTCCAGGCCATAAGCCCCGCCCCGTTGCCCCCACCCCGATATCTCTGCTTCTGCGCGGCCGAGTAAACCGGCGATTTGCGCTTGTAGCCCCGCCCACTGCCCCGGAAGTGAATGCCGAAGCCACGCCTCTCCTCGACCCGGCTGGGGCGCAGCCATTTTAATTCATAACTGAGTGGGCGGTGGCGTTTCGCGTTGGCCGGCTGGCCCTGCTGGGCAGGGGGTGACTCCTACTGGTTTGGGGGTGGCTTTTAGTTTAATTTTTCTTTTCTAGCTTCACCTCTCGGGCCAACTTGCGCGTTCTAATTGTCTGAGATCATGTCAGGAGACGCAGCCGCGGAGCAGGTGAGGAAGGAGAGCGGCGGGGCCTCGTGGCGACCTCTTCTCTCCGTGTGTCTGTGCGTCCTGGCTCTCCAGCCATGTTCGCTTGAGGAAGGGATCTGGGGGAGGGCGGGGGGCAATGGTGGGAATGGGGAGCAAGAGCTGACTGAGATTTAAAGTTATTTTGGGGGGAGGGTTCTGTTTTAGGCGTTAGTATGAATACAGTTGGTTTAGACAGTAACTGGGAAGCTGCTTCGACCAGTTTAGGTTCATGGGACAACCTCGGTTGCATGGCTTCCTTTCATACCATTTCGATAGGGGAGATCCATAGGAATTGATTGTTTAAACATGTACTCGCCGATGTCGAAAATAACTTGGCACTCTTCTCCAATGTAGACTGTACCCAGAAATAGGTGAATAGCTTGAGAAATAATTGGAGATTAAACTAATCTGGGAAAAATGAAGACTCTTGCTAGAGAGAGAGCGAGTGAAGGGAACAGCCTGGGAGCAAAGCATAGTTTTGCTGGGTAAGAGTTAGGAATTGTAGTGGCTTTCTCCCACTTCCTTCTTTATGTTTTCTGTTTACATTTCATTTTCGGTTGTTTTTTTTTGTTTGTTTGTTTTTTGCGTGAGACAAGAGATTGCAGAATTTGATAAATCAAAACTTGAGAAGTCTGTTTCGGTCCCTCTAAATAAAACCATCTATCTGTTTTAATACTGGGATATAAGTGATGTTTAAGTATTTCAAAATGTAACAATTTTATGTAGATGATTTGTTTCTTTTGCCCTTCATTCAAAATTTTGTGGGATAGTGTTTACCCTTTCGTTTGAAAGATGAAAACGGATATTTTATGATAGGTGTTAGTCAATTCGTTTTTCAATTTAAGTTTTGGTATATGTTTAGGTAAGTATTTTTCAAAATGGAAGCTAGCTGGCCTGCACTCCCAATTTTCTGAAATTTCCCATTGCCATGGCAACGGAATACACTTAGGTTTTCGTTTTCAAGCCCCCATCTTATAATTTGGAGGTAGTCCGTATAACTAAATTTTGGGAAAGTTTGGCTAACTTAATTTTGTGTTTGCTCATCAACTGATTTCAGTCCTGAACTCTTTGCAATGTTCACATGTTACATGATGCCCAAGAATGTAAAGTCTTAAAATTAGTATATCAGATCTGTTTATGCATACTTACCCTTTTTCTGGACTCGATCTGAGAGTCAAGGGAGGAGTAATATACAGAGGTTTCATTGAAAATTTCCAGAATCCATTGTTATTTCTTATATTTTTAAAACATTGTAAAGACACTGAAATGTTGCTGTGACTTCAGATTTTTCAGAACTATGGTGTTTTAAATGGCAAAGATGCTGTGAAAATTTACAGGGGGAAAAAATCTCATCCAAAAGTTTTATTGTATAGAACAGAAAAGTTAAAAGTGCAATGAACACATACAGTACAATTATTCACTTAAATTCAACAGTTAAACATTTTGCCATATTTGTTTTATCTCCCGTACAAATTTGTCAACACATATTTCATCATTCTCATTATTTGGCGTCAGCCCCACATAATTTAGCATTAATGCTTTTACATAACCATCATGCCATTTTCCCACCTAGGAAAATTAATATATAATTTATAAAATCCAGTTCATATTCAGATTTCCTCAGTTGTCCCAAAATGTGATTCATAGGGTTTGTTTGTTTTGTTTTGTCAGAACCTAATCCCCAATTTATACCCCGTAGTACAGGAGTGGGAAATGTTTGGCCTGCGGGCTGTATAAGGCCTGTAAAATAATTTGGTCTCTACTTTATTTATTTATTTATTTATTTATTAAAATATGTTCTATTGATTTTTTACAGAGAGGAAGGGAGAGGGATAGAGTTAGAAACATCGATGAGAGAGAAACATCAGTCAGCTGCCTTGTGCACACCCCCTACTGGGAATATGCCCAAGGTACATGCCCTTGACTGGAATCCAACCAGGGACCCTTGAGTCTGCAGGCCAATGCTCTATCCACTGAGCCAAACTGTTTTGGGCAGCAGGCTAATTTTTAAGTTGATAATCTGTATGGCCCTCGAATGATGTTATAAATGTCCAAATGGTCCTTGGCAGAAAAAAGGTTCCCCACCCCTGCCCTAGTGTGTCTACACTGAGTGGCTAGATTATTATGATCTCTGAATGAATAATAATCTGGTCACCTAGTGTATATCCTATATAATAAAAGGCTAATATGCAAATTGTTCCCTCCACCAGGAGTTCAACTAGCAGGCAGGCCGGACCCCACCCATGCACGAATTCATGCACCGGGCCTCTAAATCAATACATGTGTCTATTAGAGGCCCGGTGCATGAATTTATATATATATATGTTAGAGGCCCGGGGCATGAATATATATGTATGTATGTATATACACACACCACACACACACACATACTGAGTGCTCAGACATCATAATAATCTGGTCACTCAGTATATTTAAAAAGTCCAAGATAGTTTTCTTTAGAACTCTCATATTCTGGATTTCTTTTATTTTTGTGAATGCAGTGTCATTCAACTTGTCCTTTCATCTTGTGTATTTCCTGAAACCTAAACTCAGCTTTGATAATATTTTTGCATAGACTACTTTATAGCATTACATTAGAAGGCACTTATTTCATGCTAGGTAGTTTCACTGTTAGCGATGTTTAAGTTTGACCACTTGGTTAGGGTGACACTGCTGTATCTGTTCATTGTAAATGATTATTTTCCTCTTTACAGTTAATAATCTGTGGCTTGATATTGTGTTCCTCGGTAATCTACCTTGTTACTTATCAATTGATAATCGTTGAATAAAGCAGTTATTACATTAGAGGTGGCAAGTGGTGTGTTTTTTTAATTTATTTTTTTAGAAAAGCAAGCAAGAATTTGACTGCAACAAAAACACTTAGGACAGTGAAACAAGGAAGGGCTCGGAAGAAGCAACAGGAGAGCCTGGGTGGGCTGCTTTGACTCACTGGAAAGTCAGAGAAAAGGGGGCCTTGGAGATAGGTTTAGGGGATTAGCCCGGGGAAGAGCTACCACTGCACATTGCTCTCCTGATTACAAATCTGGGGTTCCTTGGAGATGAGGAGATAGGTGCTTGTGGGAGGAGAGCGGGGAGTGAATGCACAGGCATGCTCTCTGGATGGGGCAGTGGGCTGGGACCTTTTTCAGGGTTTCAAAGGTTAGGCGTTTAGGGCAGGGTCGATAGAATTTTAATCAGCTTTATTCTGGTGAACCAAAATGAGATTTATTCTCTTAATTTGTCCTTGGATATGGTTGACAAATGGTACTGATTGGATTTCTTTTCTTCTTTTTTTTTTTAATCAATCTTTATTGTTCATATTATTACAAAGGTTCCTCATTTCTTCCCCCTCCACCAGGTTCCCACCCCACCCTCTGCCCTTTCCCCACAACTGATTGGATTCTGTTCTCTGTCCCCAGTAGAGTGATTTAAGCTATTTACCCTCTGGTTGGGGAAAAGTGCAAATCATTTACTCCCCTAAGTGTCCTTGGTTTAGGGAATATAGGATTTACTAGGTGGTTGCTAACTGCTGTTTAACAGTCTTAGTTTTCCTATCCCATTTGTGCTGGAATTTTTCTAGCTTCTTACTGTACTAAAACATTTTCCCCTCAGAGATTTTTACCCCTAAAATCTTTTAGGGTTGAGAGGGAGAATGGTCTGACTTCAGTAGTTGTTTCCTGCTGAAAATGGTTTTTTAAAAATTCTAATATTCTGTCTTTACTTACTGACTCCTATTTTTCTGTAAAGAAGTTTTGTTTTATTTTTTCTTTCTCCTTTTCAGAGATTATTGAGTATCACTGAACTTAAAGGTTTCTCTTTATTTTGTGTGTTAAAATCAATTATACCATTTTCTTTTGGATGTTCACCTTGTCTTAACTTTGATTGTGGCTCTCTATCTTTTTCCTATCAATCTAAAAAACATTTTTTGACATCTGATTTCCAACAGTCATCTTCATATAATACTTTCTTCAATTTTTTATTTATTTAAAAAAATATATTTTATTGACATTTTACAGAGAGGAAGGGAGGAGGGATAGAGGGTCAGAAAACATCGACCAGCTGTCTCCTACACACCCCTACTGGGGATGTGCCCGCAACCAGGGTACATGCTCGTGACCAGAACCTGGGACCCTTCAGTCCACAGGCTAATGCTCTATCCACTGAGCCAAACCAGTTAGAGCTTTCTTCAGTTTTTTAATGATACATTTCAAACATTCAAAAAAGGAAGAATTATATGTTCCTATTATAGAGCTTCAATTCATAGCAAATCTTGTTTTTCTCCACACTTTCAGTTCTTCCCACCTCCATTACTTTAAAGCAAATTCCAGACACTGTATTATTCAACTTTAACTGAAATGATTAAAAGATACCTTAAAGAGTGAGATGATTAATTATGGATTAACTAGCTTGCTTTATTATGTGTAAGATAGCAGTCAGTAAAAATCCAGAGGAAAAGAGGAGTGCCTGAAATGATGGACAAGAAAAAAGACTAAATAAATATGAAGAATAATAAGAAAAAAATCAAAACGTCTCTGAAATAATAGATTTGCTTTGGAAAGGTGTCAAGGGATGGAATAGACAAAGAATCCTGCAAGATAATGAAACTTAGCATTGAAGCTTAAAAATGCTTATTGAATAAACCCTGTATTTTTAATTTGTTACTCAAAATATGGATGATCATTTCTTGATACTGAATCTCTGCCCTTTGAAAGTGGAAAATGATTGTAGACAATCAAAATCACTGCTAAGGTTTATTGTAACTTTTTTACTCTTGTAAGAAAGTTACAGTTTGCATTTCTAGAGTTATTTAAACGATCTTGCAGTGTTTGTGGGTATTCTGGAGCTTCATGTTACTGTCTTTGCCAATTTAATGATGACAGGACTGTGTGTACTAGGATTTAGATTCCCTCCTATTCCCAACAAAAATACATCTGGGTCCTTTGTGGAATCATGGCTATAGTCTTATTTTGTAGATACTTTTT